TAAAATATGATTATGTATAGAACATAAATTATCTTAGTTTAAAAGATTTAAATCTCATATTGAATAAATTCACGAAAAGAAAAATTTCTCCAATAACCTACTTAAAAGATAAAACCTCCTTTTAAAAAAAAACATACTTAATAATATTTTTACGTGTAATAGTGGAAAACTGACAATTGAATATCAATCTAGAATATTATTTTAATATATCTATGGTAAAATATTAATTGTAATAAAAAATTGTGAAATTTGTAGTATTACATGAATTAAAAAGTCTTTAAAATATAAGATCTATTTTATTAACATAATATATTTTGTTTTTGTTTATTATTTTGACATTGTAAAATATTGTTTGGGCTTCATTTGTATACTAATTTGTTAGTAATTTAATTTTAAGGTATTTTAAAATTATCAAGAATATAATGTATTTAAAATTATTTTTTAAATATATCCAAATATGATCTCTCATTTTATGTGAAAATGTATTAAAATTTTAATAATTTCTGGAGGAAAAAATATTAAATAACAATTTAATATTCCCAGATTTTTTTGTATATATTAAATAAATTTTAATGTACATTTTTGATTGAGTATTTAAATGTAAATACTGGTTGTTTTTTTTCTCATTTTCCAAAACTCTAGTCTGAGAATATTTTACCAATTTAGACTATTTGTCTAATCTTGTTGGAAGAGTAAAATGATTTTATTTCCGCTGTTACGTTTTCTTCATCAAAGATGTTTTAGTTTTTTATAATTTAGAAATAGTTCACTAATAAACTAATATGAATAATTTTTAATTTTTGAAGTGTAATGGTTGAATTGGTTATTAATTAACTGAGAATTGTTTCTAGTCACTTTGAAATTATAATTTTTTTTTTTGTAAACTTATGTAATTTATATTCTTTAAATTTAACTACACTTTCTTGTTGATCTTTTGCCTTTCACATTTTGATTATTTTAATTTATTTTAAATTTTTTCTATGTGTATATTTTTATATATTCATCTAATCGTATTGTAGAGGTAAATATGATTTACATATTAGTTCAAATTCCACTTTTTCAATTCTAATGTGTGTTTTAACTATGAATTTCTATGGAATATGCAAGTTATTGTATGTCACAAAATTATCTAACAGGTGATTCATATAATCTCTTAAATTTTTGTGATTTCATTATATGTATATTATCTTTATATGTCTTTTGTCTTATAGTTGGAGTAATGAGAGTATATTCCATACATGGTTCGAATCTTGATGGTATCAAAAAGTCATAGCTGTTCATTTTTTTTTTTTTTATCATGTCATAGCTGTTCATAGTTTACGCAAAACAAACAAAAACCCACTGAAATGCGCGTGGTAATTTAAAATTTTCAAAACAACAGACTACTATACAAGTAATGTGGTAATCAAAATAATTTTTTTTTTTTTTTTGCAATTTGTTTCCAATTTTATTCGAATTTTTATGTATTCTTATTATTATTTATTAATTATTTCGGTTAAATTCATTTTCATTTTTTAAGTTTAGAGTAGGTGAAGAGATGGGAAGAAACATCGTGACAGCATGAGTGAAACATCGGCGAAGAACAAATGACCTAGGTATTACCGTCTCTCTTGAGACTGAAGTTGGGTTTGGTGTGTGGGCCGGTTGTGTAATTTCGTTTGGAGTCCAAAGAAAATAAGCCCAACTGTAAGGCTGTCGTTGACGTGGACAATTTGCTTTCTCCATTGGGCGATTATTAACGTCGATGTGGACAGTCTCATATCCTCTTAATAAGAGCTTTTAATTATAGTAGATATTAGGTTATTATTAGATTATATATTTTATATTTTTGTTATGATGTTTGGGTTTACATTTAAATATGAAGAAATTAATGACTTAGTGTCAAATAATATGGTTTGTTTATGTTTTTATAAGTTATATTTTTGTACCTAAGCTAGAACAAAACTAAAAAATCAACTCGAATAAACTGAACAAACACAATAAAACCAAATTAGATTGAACCGAAGACAAATCTAACTAAAATCGAACCGAATTAAACTGAACCAAACTGAATACAAACCAAATCAAATTAATTTGGATTGACTTTGGTTAAAGTTTTTTTAAACTTAGATAAACTAAACCAAATCTGTAACTATATCGAAATATCTACCCAAATTATAACATATGAACAATTATAATTGTGAAAAACACCCATGCGATTGAACGGGTAAATATTTAGCTATTATTAGTACAAGAGATCGCGAGTCCTAACATTATTATTTGGACTTAAAAAAGAAGTTACTTAGGACTCACGTTATCTTTCAAAACCTGACATTTCCTTGTTTTTGGCTTTGATCGAACCACCAGCATATTTTGTATTACAAACAATAGCCTATCGAGTATTGACTGCAGTCTGGCTCAATCTAATCCATTTAGATTAGATGTTATACTTTTCAATTTATATGTTGTTGTAATTAAAAATTTTGTTTCAAAATAAATGTTGTTTTATAATTTCAATATAAAATTTGTTATAGTATGATATTCTATTTTTTATTTGTTGAAATGTGGTTAGTGTATAGGTAATATTGTTTTTATCTAAAGAATATGCAAAATTAAATATATTTTTTAATCGATATGTAAAAACTCAAAACGACAACTAAATTGGAACGGATGTAGTATTTTAATTATATTTTAAATTCCTAATATAAATTAGAGATAATATACGTATTATATAAGCATATTGAATAAAAAATAATATCTATAGTCGGCAACTATCCACAAATCTGTTACACATGTTTTGTAATTGATCAGCATTTTGCAGAATTTACATAAGATGATAAGATTAACATCTAAAGCCATTGATCCAATTTCTATTGTGGTGGAACCGAATCGTTAGAGCTTAGATTATTATGAAAGTTCTGAAATTGCAGTTTGGTAGTACCAAATATATAATAAATTATCTTGGGAGTACTTTACATGGAGAGTAAATGTGTTTTGGAATGCGTCATGCATAATTTAAGATGGATTTAGAACTATACGCCGGGGGCTAGCTAGTATATTTGAATTTGTTAGTAGTTTAACTCTTCATGAATGGTAACATACATCATCCATGTGTATGTGGATGAATAAATTAGGTTTTTGTGTGCTATTATAAGCAACAAAAATAAAAGCATGGAGGCATAAAAGAAGAATGCTGCTGGATTTATTGTAAACAAGAATAACAAACGTGAAAGGGAATAAAACATGGATGTATAATTGTAATGGAAGGCACATTCTTTTTTTCTTTCTTTCTTTTGTATGAATCAATCATTAGTTATAATCTTATTAATTTATAAAAAAATGAAAGGTTGGGAGAGAAGAAAGGAACATGCAAAAAAAGAGAAAGGAACATGATTCCAGCGATTTCAAGCAATGTGCATAGCAACTTCCCACTATCCTATTTCCTAAACCCTCTACCTAATACAAACATTACAATTAAAGGAACCATGTTTGATTTGCATTAATCCAGTTTGGCGGCTTTATACATATTGCCTCATCCCATTTTCTATCATTTTTCTCTTATTTTATTTTTTGAATATTAGATGTATATATAATTATTCAATACAACAAGCATATTCAGATAGATTACATAAAACCACCCCTAGCAAACACAATATCAAAGTCAATAAAAGATTCTAGAAATGAAAGTCGGTTATAGACGACAAACTAAACAATAAAATATCTCAGAAACCAAATGATACAAAAATGATCTACTGCTATACCCTGGGCAGAATTGTATGTTCTACAAACTCACTTATTGAATGAACCAACTTTTAAGGTCGGCAACGCGAGATGGATGAAGAGCAATCGCCTTCAGCGTCACATTCATCAAGTCCTACATTGTAATATATACAACGTGTATTTGTAAGAAGCTAATATTATTTATCTTGCTAAGAGACATAACAAAACTTCTTCTTCCAAAAAAAGACATAACAAAAGTATATATAATGAAACTTCTATAAATTAATAATGTTAACACTACACCAATTTTTTTTTTTTTTTAATTTAGAGAGATATTAATTTATAGATATACTAATTGAATCAAAAACTCAATTTGAAACTATAAAATTATATTAATTTACAGAGATATTTAGTGTATATTAATTTATAGAGATTCTATTCTACGACGAACTTGTAAGAAGCTGATACCATTTACTTTACCATGGGACATAACGAAAACTAATTTAATAGATATTCTAGGTTACAAAAGAAAATAATTAATAAATTAACAATCTAATTAATATAGTACTAGTTTAAAAAAAAAAACAATGATGAGTTTGTGTTGTCGAACATACACATACGTATCGGTGACAAAACGTGATCTTCACCACGTTTTGTTTAACTAATCGAACCGGGCAACATTCAACGTTCTGACTTCTGATGTTAATTTGCTAGTGAAACTCATAAACCATACTTTTCTGTCATTTGTTTTCTTTAATTTTAAACTCATCAATCATATTTATTCTACACCAACCAATTATTTAGCTACACACAATAGTATCATTGATTATCTAATCTCCTTTTTTTACCACCACCAGGGTTGGTCCTCCGCTCCGGCGAAACTTGAAGAGCAATTAAAATTATTTCCCGTCAAGAAAAAAAATTAACTAAAAGACCACGCAACACAACTGTCAGAGAATCATAGGTCTCCCTTTTCAAACCCAGAACATTTATAATATAACATTACATAAATAAAAGACGAGAATGGTTATGGTCCACCTCGTTGTAAGCATCTTTGGATGGACACAAGTCGCAAAACTAGTGGCATCTTTCTCGCCTTCATTATTAAACTAACAACAAAAATCATTAATCCATTAGAAAATGACGTAATCTAATTTTAATTAATTAAACCCAAAGGTATGGAAAATGATTAGTACTAATCGGTGGCTATTCCAATATTATTGAGAAACGCCGACGCCTAACGCGACTCATTATATAACCCAAAACGCGTCTTCCTTGTTTCTTTTCCTTCCTCTATCACAAAACGATTGTTTCAGAAAAGGAAATACATTTAATTAAATTTATATATTCCCCTTCTTTCTTACAAAAGAAGAAGAACAAGGTACTTTGGTCGGCCTGCGCAAAAAATAAAAAACCAGATCTCTTTCTCCCTACCCAAAACCTTCTTCAAATCAGTTTATAAAAACACCCGGTTCTGTCCTCACCCGGAAGAGAAAGTTTCGATTTTTATAACAACTTAACGGAGAAACAAGAAGATGGAGTATGAACATGGTAAGAAGAGGAAAGTTCGTAACAGACAGCAAACAAAAGCGAACTTCTTGTCTCTAAGGTATCTAACGATATGTCTTTGCTGTTTCTTCGTCTTGCTCTTCTTCTTATCCTCAAACCGAATCTCTGTCCGTTCCGATTCTCTTAAACCGTCTCTTCGTGTCCCTGCTCTCTCCGTCTTATCTTCAATGGATTCGATTCAACGCTCTTTCCACGGTAGATTCCCTCCGTTGAGTGTCGAAGACAGAGTCCAGTTCCCTGACCATTTACTGCTGATTCTCTCCACCAGAATAGGGAGAGATGTGAAGGGTCTTGTTTGTGTTTACCATGGAGGAAGAAAGGAAGAGACTTTGGTGTTGCCATCGATCTCTAGTGATGAGTTTGATGAGTTTAGATCCATTGTTCGGTGCCCTAAAGCTCCTTTGAACTATTCTTCATCTGTTGATTTACAATTCAAAGGAGATTTAGTGAAGAAGAAGAAGGTGAGTGATGAGAAGGTTCATGATTGGGCCAAAGTTGGTTACGAGGCAGTGATTGACGGCGACACGGTGGTTGTGTTTAACAAAGGATTGACTCGAAGACCTCACAAGGAGTCAGATCCTTCTTACTACAAATGTCAATTTGAGACAGGTGTTGAAGTTTTAGTCACTCAAGCTCTTGCTGCAGCGCAAGAAGTTGTGAGGTGTGTTTTGCCTGAGAGCTTGAAGGTGAATCCAGAGATGGCTCGTGTGAGTGTGATCCACTTCGATCCTAGAGGAAGATCTACACCTGCTTTACCATCTGTTGCGAGAGTCTACGGTTCAGAGAAGAAGAAGGAGAAGAAGAGTGGGAAGAAGCATGAGCTTTGTGTTTGCACAATGCTATGGAACCAAGCACCCTTCTTGCGTGAATGGATTATGTATCACTCGTGGCTTGGCGTCGAGCGTTGGTTTATATACGATAACAACAGCGACGATTATATACAAGAGGAGATTGAATTGCTCAACTTAGATAATTACAATGTGAGCAGACACGTTTGGCCATGGATCAAGACTCAAGAAGCTGGTTTTTCTCATTGTGCGGTTAGAGCGAAAGAAGAATGCAACTGGGTTGGATTCTTCGACGTTGACGAGTTCTACTACTTCCCTACTCATCGCTCTCAAGGCTTACCTAGCAAAAACGCTTTAAGCTCCCTTGTGTCAAACTACACTTCGTGGGATTTAGTTGGTGAGATTAGAACAGAATGTCATAGTTACGGTCCATCCGGTCTAACCACGGTTCCATCACAGGGCGTGACGGTGGGTTACACTTGTAGACAAGCGAACCCGGAGAGACATAAGTCTATAATCCGACCAGAGATGCTAACGAGCTCGTTGCTCAACGAGGTTCATCATTTTCAGATGAGGGAAGGAGTAGGGCATATGAGTTTGGTGGAGAGTGTTGCGGTTGTGAATCATTACAAGTATCAAGTTTGGGATACTTTTAAAGCCAAGTTTCAGAGGAGAGTGGCTACTTATGTTGTGGACTGGCAAGAGAATCAGAACCAAGGGTCTAAAGATCGAGCTCCAGGGCTTGGGACAGAGGCTATTGAACCGGGTGATTGGAATAGAAGGTTCTGTGAAGTGTGGGATACTGGTTTGAAGGATTTGGTTTTGTCTAATTTTGCTGATCAAGTGACTGGTTATTTGCCGTGGCAGAGGCAACAACAACTACAAGAATGACCTTTTTTTTTTTGGTTACTTGGTTTGTGAGATTATGTACATTTGACGAGTATACATTAATATTACTTCTTTTGTTATTTCATTGTTTTTTTTTGTTGGGGAGAATTGAAATGGTTTCTAATCTTTTTTTTTTTGTTTAATAGAGTTACCACATTTGTAAATTTCAATACTATTTATTTTGGTTCCTACATGAATTAATTTATCTACTAATGTCTTTTGGATTTTTGTTTTGACTATATAATTGTCGGTAAGAAAATTGTCAGTAAGCTGATAAAGATAAAAGCTTGAAGGAATCTTAAGACCAAACATGTAAATCATTGTCGTTATGACAGTGGTAACGGATATTACCATTTTGATGATTACCAATCATAAAAGTCAAATAGTGGTATAAAAAGCTGTTTTCTATCATTATTTCTCACCATACATAGCACTCACTATCAACGGCTATATCGTTTAATTGTTCTCTTTTCCGGTCACCTGCAACTAGTCACCGGAAAGAAAAAGCCAGCGAACCCTTACATGTTTTGGGCTGAAATGTAAGCAATAATATAAAAGCCCATGGGCGAAAACATATGATCTTCAGACATTTTTTAGTTCTAGTGATATCTGTCTTCAATAGTTTCATACTACACCTTGCAAGTTTTAAACTCTTGTGAGTAATAAGCCAAGCCTTATCTTTAACAAAAACGAATCCCATTAAAGTCATATTAATACGAGTATTTGATAAGTTGGTAAATATAAAAAGTATCATCATTACAAAAAACGAGTCAATAAGTTCTCGATTTGTACTTTGACCTCCACCCTCAGAAAGAATAACTACCTTTCCTTTTCAGAGATCGCAACATTGATGATACTAAAAACTGACTTGAATCTTCTCTCTGACTCTCTCTCAGAGCCGCTACTCCAACGCCGTCGTTTAGCTACCCCAAACAAAACAAACCAGCAAGTAACTAACAAACAAACAAAGATAATAAAAAAAATCAATTAAAAATAGTCAAAACAGAGGAAAAAAAATAAAAAAAAATAAAAGCTGTCACCTTTTCTCATCACTACAGTCAATGGCCGTTCTTTCCGCCATAGAAAGAAAGAAAAAAAACCCTAAAGAGAGAAAGAGAAAGAGAGAGAGATAACATCTTCACAGATCGACCATGAAGACTCTCTTACCTCTTCTCCTCTTCACCATCATCATCTCCCTCCTCTGTTCTTCCTACGCAGAAGACGACGTGCTCTGTCTCCAAGGCCTAAAGTCCTCACTCACCGACCCTTCCTCACGCCTCACCTCCTGGTCCTTCCCAAACTCCTCCTCCTCCTCGATTTGCAAACTCACCGGCGTCTCCTGCTGGAACGAGAAAGAGAATCGCATCATCTCCCTCCAGCTCCAGTCTATGCAGCTCGCCGGCCAGATTCCCGAGTCTCTCAAGCTCTGCCGCAGCTTACAGTCCTTAGATCTCTCCGGAAACGATCTCTCCGGCACGATCCCTCCCCAAATCTGCTCCTGGCTCCCTTACCTCGTCACGTTAGATCTGTCCGGCAACAAACTCTCAGGCCCGATCCCGTCTCAGATCGTTGAGTGTAAGTTCTTGAACGCTCTTGTCCTTTCCGACAACAAGCTCTCCGGTTCGGTTCCGACGGAGTTGAGCCGGTTGGATCGGTTGAGAAGGCTTTCTGTGGCCGGGAACGATCTCTCCGGGACGATTCCGACGGAGCTGTCTCGTTTCGGGGAGGAGGATTTTTCCGACAATAACGGTCTTTGCGGGAAGCCCTTGTCAGGATGCGGCGCGTTGAGTGGGAGGAACTTGAGTATCATTGTAGTGGCTGGAGTTTTAGGAGCTGTTGGGTCGTTGTGTGTCGGTTTAGCGGTTTTCTGGTGGTTCTTTATGAGAGAAGGTAGAACTGGTAGGAAGAAGAGAGGAGGATACGGAGCTGGGAAGTGTAAAGACGATAGTGATTGGATTGGTTTGTTGAGGTCACACAAGCTTGTTCAAGTCACCTTGTTTCAGAAACCTATCGTGAAGATTAAACTGAATGATCTAATGTCTGCTACTAACGAGTTTAGTTCAGGGAACATTGATGTTTCTTCGAGAACTGGTGTCTCGTACAAGGCGGATTTACCTGACGGGTCTGCTCTCGCGGTTAAGAGGCTTAGTGCTTGTGGGGTTGGTGAGAAACAGTTTAAGTCGGAGATGAATAAGTTAGGTGAGCTTAGACATCCCAACTTGGTGCCGCTTCTAGGGTATTGCGTTGTGGAGGATGAGAGGTTGTTGGTGTATAAGCACATGCCTAACGGGACACTGTTCTCTCAGTTGCATAACGGTGGATTTTGTGATGCGGTTTTGGACTGGCCGACTCGGCTTATGATTGGTGTGGGAGCTGCAAGAGGTTTAGCTTGGCTGCACCATGGATGTCAACCACCGTATTTGCATCAGTTTATTAGCTCCAATGTGATACTTCTTGACGATGATTTCGATGCTAGAATTACGGATTACGGTTTGGCTAAGCTGGTTGGGAGTCGTGACTCGAACGATAGCTCGTTTAATAACGGAGATTTGGGGGAGTTGGGGTATGTGGCGCCTGAGTATTCGAGCACTATGGTAGCGTCTTTGAAAGGAGATGTGTATGGGTTTGGGATTGTGCTTCTTGAGTTGGTTACAGGGCAAAAGCCTTTGTCGGTTGTGAACGGTGTGGAAGGGTTTAAAGGGAGTTTGGTGGATTGGGTGAGTCAGTATTTGGGGACTGGTAGAAGTAAAGATGCTATTGATAGAAGTATAAGTGGGAAAGGACATGATGAGGAGATATTGCAGTTTTTGAAGATTGCGTGTAGTTGTGTTGTGACTAGGCCTAAGGAGAGGCCGACGATGGTTCAGGTTTATGAGTCTTTGAAGAACATGGCGGATAAACATGGTGTTTCTGAGCATTATGATGAGTTTCCATTGGTTTTCAACAAACAAGAAGCTTGAGTAACTTTTTTTTTAGAAAGGTATGAGGAATCTACTCTGTATCAAAGGCATGTTATCTCATTCTTTGTTGTTTCTCTCCCACTGTTTTTACTTGTTAACTGTGTCACTCTTCTTGTGTTGTCTTGTGTCCTGCTTGTTGTAAAATTATGTACATTCGTTGGGTCATCAGTGTACTCTTTGGAATGTATGAAATGAGAAGATTTATTCTGCCTTAGGTTCCAAATGTCTTTTTGCCTGGAAGTTGAATCATTGAAGAAGCTTTGTTTTGAACTCTGTTGATTTCATCTTTTAATGGTCAAAAGGGTCAAAGCCATAGTTTGGTGTGTTGTGATGATATCTTTTGGATTAGATGTGGGGTTTGGTCTTGGAATAAGACGAGAGAGTTTTAAAAGAAACGTTATGGTGGAGGCAGAGATCTAGAGACGTCTGCGTCTCGCTGAGCATAGACACATGAACCTCGACCCCACTTAGTAATAATAACATCGTCTTGTCACCATTTCCTTTTGCTAATCTGTTGGTTTTGTTATTGTGACAAGCTGTGAGAGTCAATTTTGTTGCGTTGAGTAAATTTTCACCTGGTCAGATCAAACAGAAATTGATTTATCCAGTTGATTATATTCACTCCTTTAGAACCACAATCCTATCAGACCAAACAGGAAACCGAATAGGTAGAAAAAAAAACCAAGTCTCCAAGGATGGACACAACTTTTTTTTTTGTTTTATTTATTAGCAAAAGTTTGTGTGCTACTTTCTCTGGTAACAGATCATGTAACAATAGATTCACCTTTTGAGCTGGCTCCACCTTCTTCGAAAACCTGGCAGGGCCTTGTGGAGATCACCTTGGACAGTCTTTTCTTATACTTCAAAGGAGCACTTGGAGTTTCATCTGCTAATGGATAACCGTTTCAGACCCGTCAAGTGCTCTAAGCCTGTAATATCATTCACTTTCACACAATTTGTGAGATTGAGCTCGCGCAACATCGTCAGCTCTGAAAGGTCGGATATACTCTCCAATGCAAAACAGTTTGCCAGGTTTAGCTTCTCCAAGTTACATGGAAGAGGAGGAACACACTTGAGATTTTGACAGGTCATGTAATGAAAGTTCTTTGAGACTTGATAGCTCCTTGAGGCTAGACGGAAAACGAGATTATTCCTTATCAAAACTGGTTAACATGCAAGAAGTGTCAAACTGATAGTAGCTCGTGGATGTGAATTGACACTGTAGAAGATCCTTTACAGGAATTTAAAACCTCACAAATGCAAAGGTTTGAGCTATAAGCTGGATTACTGAGAGCAAGGTGGATCATAGATTAGATAGAATTATATTTGGTCTTAGATTAGATAGAATTATATTTGGTGGATCATGGTGGATCATAGATTAGATATAATTATATTTGGTGGATCATTGATTATAATTAAAAATTTAAAAAATCAAATTGATAAAAGTGAAAATATGTTTTTTCATGGTATGACATATACAAATACATATATTTAGATTATAAAAATGGTATTCCTTCAAATTTATGTTACTCCAAAATGATGAAAAGAACAAAATCATAAAGAATTTTTTTTTTCAAAAAGTTTTTTCACTCATAAAATAAACAGATAATTCCTAAAATAAAAATATTGTATTTTATTGTCATTGAGTATATTTACTTTTAGATAAATATATACTCATTTTATGTTCAATAAAACTATCAAGCAAATTATTCTTGAAGAAAGAAAATAGTTTTGACTATATAAAGATGGAAATAATGGTTTAATGTTCAAGTCAAATAAGACAACATAATAATTTAGAATTAACAGAAAAAAAGGAAAAATTTAAATTGAACTTTACGAACTGATTGTGTTAGGAGAGGCAATAAATATTTTTCAAGAGGGTATTCAATTTTTTCCTTAGCATTTAAATGAAATTTTTAAACTTTATAGGGGGGGGGGGCAACTGCCCCCTACTTACCTTATGTAGTTTTACCCCTGCATGTCGTACGGATTCTTAACTTCTCTGACTAACCCCTGTTTCTTGCATAACACCCCAATGGTTGTCTATTTCCAAAGTTCATGTGTTACACAAAACCCAAAGGGAGAGTTTTGGTATTGTTAGAGCCACATTAATCCTTCTAGCATCCGAAAGAAAGCCAGTTCCACCAGAAGTATTAGCTCTTACAGTGGATAAGAGTAGTATGTCTACCTCTCTACCTTGAAAGGCATCCACCATACTAATTTGCATCTCTTGTACTACTTTACTTCAAATTCTCTAGCAAAACAAGAACGCAAAACTCCAACTTGACCTCGGTAGGGAGTGATGATCCCAATCCTTCCGGCTATAAACTCTAAAGTATACCTACAAGCAAAGAACCACAACTAAGTGAAGAATTCAAAATAACTCCCTAAAACGTGGTAAACAAAGAGAGAGGTAAAAGATGTGGTTACATACGTTCCTTTGAAAAACTTAAGGAGCTGAGGCACAGCTTGAGCTTCTTGTCAATTGGAGTGTGAGTTAGAATATCTATTATCTTTGCCATCACGGACATGAGTCTTAGAAAATGATTATTGTGAAAAGCGGCATCTTTTTCTGGCATGGTGACATCATCCACCAAGTTCTTGTCGTAGAAATGCTGAGAGGGGAATCTAGAAATCTCGCTACGCATCCGATACTGTTTGTGGGGTAGGAAGTGTTAGCGCAAGTTAAGAAAAACTCAAAAAAGCCAGAAAGTAAAAACAGTCAGCGTACCTGTTCATTAATGGCTGAAGTAGAAACTTTTTTTAATTAGGATCAAAGTTAATTAAAATTTGCATTATATCGGCGAAAAATGAACAAAATCTTTACATGAATGATGCATCATCTATAGTGCATGATTCTAAAACTATTTTAAAAGACAACTGTTTAACATATCACAAAATCCCTAGAGCTTTCATAAACCATGTTAATTAACTATCAAAAATAATTTAAACCATGTTGATTAGCTTGACACAATTAACTTGGTAATCATGTACAATACTTTATCAAATGAATGGAAATGTTGACAAAAAAATGACTTAACTTAAGTTATCTTAATCAGTAGTTGTTTTAATATATTAAAAGGTGTAAATCTATAAAACCTACCCAAATTAACACGGAAAAGAAAAATATATAATTATGAATTCTAATTATAACGTCCTAGTATACCAGGTTAATTTTGCAAACAGATTGTTCTCAGTTGGTGAAGATGGTTTCGGAATCAGGTGAATGGTCAGCCTTTGCATATTACCTGGAAGATATCAAGATGCTGCAGGGGAGTTTCTATAGCTCAGCAATCATCTATGTACCAAGAACACTGAATTCACGGGCGGATAGTCTAGCACGTAGTACCAGAAAACAATCCTCATTCGTTGTTCACATGGATTCAGAGCTACCAGAGTGGTTTGAAGAGTCAATATGAGTCTGTTTCTTTTGATGTCAAAAAAAAAAAAAAAAAAGAACCCAAATATATGATATTTAACGTTATTTATTGTGTGCTTAAAAATACTTATATGGATTTTGCTTAAAAATAAAATATAAATATATGGATTTTAAGTTTTTGTCACAAAACTTCTTGATTATAAAAGCAGAGGTAAAGAAACAGATAAACATCTTACAGTGAGTGAACTTAAAGAAGTAAATAAGCTCTCGAAAACAGGATACTAAAGAGAGAAGGAATATATAGACAAAACACCAAGTCTCGAACTCTGAACAAAACACTTTTTTTTTGTCTTTTGTTTATCAGCAACAGTTTGTCTGCAGTTTCTTAACTTCTCTGGTATCAGATCATGTAACAGTGGAGTCACCTTCTGAACTGGCTTCACCTTCTTCAAAAATCTGCAGCATTTTCAAAGAAACCTGCGAAATGAGAAGAAATTCACAAGATTGCAAGAAAGTTATTAACAAACACTGAGTTTAAACTGATTAAGATTCTGAGTTAGTGGGAATCACCTTGGGAAGTCTTTTCTTCACTGCAATAAAGAACCTAGAGTTACATCCGCTCATGTCTAACCATTTCAGAGCCGTCAAGTGCTCTAGGCCTGGAACATCATCCACATTCTTACAGTTCCTGAGATTGAGCTCCTTCAACATCGTCAGCTCTGAAAGGTCGGATATACTCTCCAATGAAAAACAGTTTGCCAGGTTTAGCTTCTCCAAGTTAAATGGAAGAGGAGGAACACACTTGAGCTCTTGACAGTCATGCAACAAAAGTTCTTTGAGATTTGATAACCCCTTGAGGCTAGATGGAAGACTGTGAAACTTATTATTCCCAAGGTATAAGCTATGGAGTGTGTCCATATCTTCAATTTTATCAGGCAGAGATTTCAATGATAAGCAGTTCCTCAACTCAAGTTTCTGAATAAAGTGCAAGTGAGTTATCTCTTCTGGTAGAGTTTCAATTGGTGTACTATCCAACTTAAGTTGGAGAAGAGAGCTTAACCTCCCTATTGAACTAGGAACCTGTTTCAGCGATTTGCATCCTCCTGCTGAAAATTTAGTCAAGCATGGCAGTGAGTCAGGGCTTAGAGGTAGCTCCTCCACCGCACTTTTATCGATGATCAGCTCTTGTAATGATGTGAGTTTATTGATAGTGTCAGGAATCTGAGTAAGGGATTTGCAGTCCATCACATGCAGCTTCTGGAGACTTATTAGACTTCCAATAGACTCCGGAAGACTTTTCAGTGCAGTCTCACTAAGATCTAGCTCCTCCAGTGATGTCAGTGTTCCTATGCACTTAGGTAGCTCTTGAATAAATTTGCAACTCTTTAGACTAAGCTTTTGAAGATTTTCAAGGCGGAAAATCGATTCTGGTAACTCGTTTATCCCAGTTTCATCAAGAAGAAGCTCTTTCAAACATGGCATGGCACCAATGTTTTCTGGTAACACACTCAGATTTGAACAGCCAGAGAGGTAGAGCTTTTCAAGACTCTTCAGTCCAGATACATCCTCAAGAAACTCAGTGAGTTTTGGACACTTTCTGAAATCCAGGTGAAGTAATGCTCTCAAGGTACCAACTGATCTAGGAACTTCCACCAGACGCATGCACCGTTCAAAGACAAGCTTCTGTAGGGACTTATGGTTTGATAAATCAGGAATGGCTTCTAAGCTGTGGCAACCACGCAAGTTTACAACCTTCAAGTTCCCATCCACCTGAAAAAAGTTTCTTAACATTGAGACTTTGACTCAAACGTTTAATGTAATAATAGAGCTTACCCCTTTGCTGTCAAAACTCTGGATGCGTCTTATACCACTCTCTGAAAGATCAAGAACAGCAAGTTGCCTAGCAAGAAAACTCGGTGGAACATCTTTTAATGGACAGCCTCTCCACTGTATCCACTTGAGGTCAGATGGAAGAAGATCAAGATTTCCTTGCAGCTCCACATGATTAATCTGAAGAAGTCTCAACTTCTTCATTGGTACAAAATGCCTTACGGGAATGGTGCTCTCAGTACTTGTAGGCTTCAGAAATATATTCTTCGCGTAACTAACCACAGATCTGATGCCTGGATTGTCATATAGATTGCTCTGCCTCACAAAATTCTTCTTGAAGTCTAATACGATTCCTCTGATGGATGTTGTTCCCTGTCATAACGATCATGAGAGTAGAAGTCAAATGCACATGATGATATTATTGATGTAGATAGAAAACTACCTTCATAGTGTTCAATACATTCATGACTTCACCACGATCAGAGAGTCTACTTCGCTTTCCAGGATCTTCAAGGCTTTCTTGAAGGACAATCTGCATTCCCATGTCTTGAATCTGATCATGCATCCAAAGAGTATTGTCTGCCAAGAACTTAACAAGAGACTTTTGTCTGAGAACACTGAGAGCAGCCTCAGCGTTAAACCCACAACCATTCAATACATCAACAATTTCCTCTCTGGTCATCTCCATTTTAAGAAAGAGACACGCAATGTCTAGGAAGACTTTCTTCTCTTCATCGTCTAAAGACTCAAAACTTATCTTCAGAACATCCTGAAGACCGTTTGGTTTACTATTTTCCAGCTTCTTTAGCTGAACTAGCCATTCTTTTTCCTCCTTCTTGTCATAAAAAAGAGAGCCAGACACTTCAACAGCTAGTGGCAACAATCCTGTTATCTCAACGATCTTGTCAGACAGCTTCAATAGACTCCCTGTTGGTTTTTCTTTCCGTAGTGAATGATAACTAAACAGCTTCAGTGCCTGCTCCTTATTCAAGCATTTGACCTCATACTTTTGGCTCACGGAGAGTCTATTAAGAATCTCTTCATCTCTGGTAGTGATGACTATAAGACTTCCTTCACCATACCAACTCCTTTCACCAATTAAGGCATCAACCTGGTCTACGTTATCAACATCATCTAAAACCACGAGAATCTTCTTCTCATGAACACTTTCTCTTATCTTATCTCGACCTTGGTTAACATCATCTATTTCAGGTGGCGAACGGAGCAGCTTAATGAAAGTCTTTTGTAGATTGACTAAGCCATCTTGTCCTGATGATTTTCTTCTAACATTTGAAATAAAAACTCGTTTCTCCTTGAAGTATTCGACCATCTTTTTGTAGAAGCGTTTTGCAAGCGTAGTCTTCCCAATACCACCAATGCCGTAAAGCCCCAGGATTTGAACATGAGAACTGGATTTAACGTTGACCAGATTCATCAAATCATCAACACGTGACTCCAAACCAACGGTGTATTCTCCAACTTTCTCTGGTGTATTGTTCTTTCCAGCTAAAACCCTTTTCACCACAAGCCCTATCATCTCATCCTCTTTTTCTTTATTTTTTGATCGAAACCCTATCATCTCATCCTCTTCTTCTTTTTTTTTTGATTGAGACCCTATCATCTCATCCTTATTCCATTCTTTTCTGCCAAGTTCAAGAAACTAACTTCAGTTCTCCTTCTATATCTACAAGATTATAAACTACATAGGTTGTGTTATATATATATAGAGAGAGAGAGTCTTGTTACCTGTAGATATATCCAGGGAGGTTTCCAACTCTCTTCATAGCTTCTCTCCATGGCTGTATCTCTTCCTTGCTAAATCTTTTGTCGTGTACTTCAAAATGGTTCACGAAATCTTTGCTGCTCTGTTTGCGTACATGGGAGGGGTCGACCATGTAAAAGATTGGTATCATGGGACGATCAAGTGATGAACTCAGATCGCAGAGTTTAGCTAACTCATCAAGGCACCAGTGAGAGTCAGAGTAGCGAGGGGAGAAGAGGACGAGGGAGGCCGCAGAGTCCTCCATGCCTGCGATGAGGCTTGGATTGATCTCTTCCCCTCGTTTCATACCTTCGTTGTCGCGGAAGACAAGAACTTTCTCCTTCCTGTGGAGAGAGTCGTAGAGACGCTCTGCGAAGCCATCGCGTGTGTCTTCGCCTCGGAAACTGAGGAAGAAGTCATACTTGAGCCTATGCGGCTTTGAAAGAACGGCAGCCTCCATCTCCCGATCTCGTTGTTAAAGACAAGAAGTGTTCAGAAGATCTTCTTGAAGTCTTGTTGAGAGGAAGCTTTTTTTGCGAGATGTCTTAAAGTCAAAACTCTCTGTAGCTTTTGCTTTCTCTTTGTTGTCTCGTTGACCCATCAGAATATTATTGACTTTTCTAACGCAACCGGAATAATAAAAAATAAATATTACAAATTTTAAAGTTAAATGAGCTACTTTAATCATTTACTAGATTTTGATCTGTGTGCCCGTATGGGTGTAGTTCTCTTGTCAACCTGTTCGTGTAGCTCATTTAAAAAATTATCTTTTAAAAAAAATATTTTGCGGGTTAGCGGATATCCGCAGTTTAAATTCCACTGATCCATATCCGTTCCGCATAACATATACTAAACCCGCACTCACCTCACATATTTTTCAAAATATATTGATCTTTACCCGCCCTGCAGTGAGTCAAACAGGACGGAGTCAATGTGTAAATTCACAACCTTAATATAAATAATCATATAAATTATATTTAAAATTTTAATGTGAAATATAAAAACTACAATATAAATTGGTGTTTGAAATTGGTCTTTGTATTATTGTTTCTTATATATATTGAAAACTTTTTTTATAATCGCTATTAAAAAATATTTTAATAAAAATCAATTTATAAATATATATATATATATATTAGAATCAAATTTTTCTATAATTTAGTTTTAAACTATTCTTTTGATTTGAAATATGTATATAAAATTTAAATTTTGTATCTAATCTATTAAAACAGAGTCATATTTTTATGGGGTTTTTGCCAAAACTAACCCACAACTTGGTTTTAACCCCAATACTAGACCCCAACTTGAATCAAATGCAAATCTAACCTAAAAGGGCTATGAAATTACAATATAGTCCTCTGTGACCAAACAAAAAAACAGAAGACATTTTTACGAATATAACCCTAGTAAGTTGTCTGAGTTGGGCTGAGTTACTTTTCAGT